AATCTACATTTTGCTCTTTTATCCAAATGGGCAACCAACACTGGCGCACGAAAGTGCATGGGTAATGGTTGTAAAAACTGAAACTGAAAAACGTTATCATCGACGGCATTTAGTGCGAAAATTATGAATTCATTAGCCGTGAAAGCTTTCAGCCATGAAACACTTTCTAATCTTAGACTGCTCAATTTTCGAAACCTCTCAAAAGGTATCGCACAATATTACTTTCAGGTTACCACATCTATCCGTCCATACATCGAGTACTCAATTCAGGCCTGGAACTCATGGCAGCAGCGAGATCGGAAGGCGCTCGAACATCCGTAGAGAATCGCTACCAAGCTGGTCAAAGGTCTAGATTCCAAGACCTATGGCGAAAGATAATAAGTGTTGGGGTTATACTTGTCTCAATATCGTCAAATCAGAGGTGACATGATCTTACTGTATCGCAGTTTCCAACAATCCAGCCTTCCATGTAGACTTCTTTTGGTTTTATCAACCAATGTTCATCTCAGAGGGCATCCACTGACGTTGGCACTCCAAAAGAGCCGTCTCGACTGCAGACACTATTCGTTTGCAGTGTGCAGCACATGATACTCTCTACCACCTCACGTGGTTTGTACGCCAACATTAGTATCTTCCAAGCGTCAGCTTGATGGTGCTCTGGCAAACATTGTTTCAACACACAACTACATAATGTATTCTGCTGCTCATCACAAACATTACATTACTCTTATGTACATGAACTGTGATCTTGTGAATCCTGTTCCGAACCCAAAGTGTAAACACCCTATGGGATTTGATAAGCAGCGTCTTTTCCCATAGTTTGAATTTTATATGTAGAAAGCCAGTAATTCATGAAGATTCTCATATGAGGGAACACATTCAAATTATTTTGCGTTACTTTAACCGAGTATTGTAGAAATAAGCAAAACTTGGAACTATCACCAACCTGGACTGATTGAACAGCAAGGGGTTGTAGGGGGTCGACTGAAGTGTTAGTGTTCGGTGTAAACCGTCCTGTCGAATTGACTGGAACTTTGTTGATAGTCGTAACTGTAACTGGTAGTACCGTTTCGTCCAGATCAGACAGAGAGGTAGCAACGGCCTCGCTATCGCCCGAAGCTTGGTTCAATGCGGCTCTCTCGACCACATCGGACGGGCCGATGGATTCGGACTCGGTGAATTCGTCTGACAAATGAGAACATGAACATAAATAACTAAATATGGCAGGTTTGCCAGAACGACGACAGTGAAAACTACGTCCAAGAGAAACAATACAATCTAAATACTGCTGAACAAATTTGCAGCATATCAACGTAGCTTGTAGATAGAATGCATTATCAATACGATTTTCGTTTAAAAATACTACAGGCAAGGAAAACGCATCTGAGTCAACCTAGAGATATTTCAGCTTACATTTAACGACTCTGGTGATCTAAACGATCTATTCAGCACCCGTGATTTCCTGATGCGCTTGTTAAGTGATAGTAGCAACAGAGCAGACCGACTGTAACAGATGGTGGTGGCGCAGTGGTTTAATCGCTGTCACAGGCGTGCTTTGGACCGAGGTTTGAGACCCGCCACCGCCACCCGACCTGGTGTTAGGCTGCTTTGCTGTCGTCCGGTTCAATACCACGCCTAAACCTATCGGGGCCTTATGTCGTTTACCACTCCAAGTCCCGGGACTTAGGTAACCGGCTTCCATCACTGAACAACGGGTCCTCGTGACTATGGGGTTTACCCCGTTTGTTGTTCATTACAGGAAAGTGTGTAATGAAAAAATCTATGCAGTAAGTTTTAAAAGTGACACTACATTTCAGTGGGCAGTTTCGCCTGAATATGGGATTCGAATTTTGACTAATTGGTACCTCAGTCAAATGAACCAATCGGGTGAATGACGAACAGTAATGACGAAAAATGTCGGTTTGCTAGACCAATTGATACAACAATTTCGATGTGTAAAAATTTAGTGAGTGGGGATAAATGTCATATTGCCATGGAAAAATTGGTGCCGACTCATCAAGCAGCACTAAGTGAAACTAATGGCAAATGCTAGAAAGAGGTGAACGAACGGTTGTTACCAAATTATGAAAAAGGCGTTTTACGTGTCCATGACTAACAAGAGCAGTTGATGCAGTGAAAAAGAAAGAAAATTTAGATCAGCCTATACAATATGTGATCGGAGTCGATGATGAAAGACAGCATGGAGCAGTTATGATAATAATTATAGTGACTCTAAAAGCAAGCTATAATATATTATTCAATATCGCCAGAAAAACGATTATCTGTGTGTCTACAGCAACACTACAACGCAAGCCAATACGCCGCATCCAAAAGAAAGCGAAACCGAAATACGTGATCGTTCGAAATGTCATCAAACTAGAGTTATGGGCACAGATAGCAGGGACGGCTGTTCCAAAAGTAAAATGCATTTAGGGAATATAAACACAGTGAAATATTGAACAATATTTGTTTACGTTCGAACAATAAGCCCGTTTCAACACAGCATACGCGCATATATAATGCCTGGGTAGAAGCAAAATTCCTAACAAAAGTGAACAAACAAATGGAGCTGAACGGTATGCAAAGACCTGTAAAGTCAAAAATCTATGAAAGACAAGAGTGCATTTTAAACATAAGACAGAATAACTCAAAGGGGTCCGTGATTTTATTTTACACGCTTGTGTTTCTGTCCCTATTTCTGTAGGCGAATATCGGCAGAGAATTAAAAAAGGGAAATTGCTGCATAGAAGGTATGATCTGTGCTAATATTACGTATGGTCAGTTAAACAATTTGTTTTGAGCGAGGGCATCAATTGAATGCATGCTCTAATCAATGCCCTCGATATATCTGTTCCACTCGGGACTTCTGTACAGCACTTGGTTATCGATGCAACGCATCGCACTGTGGCGATTGGTACAAAGAAAAGGATTTCAAGGAGATCTATCATGCGTAAATATATTCGACCTTCACCTGAAAATGAGTTTCCTATGCTAGACTGATGCAGAATACAAGTGAGGTGAAACCCAGTTAGCAAAACGGAAACCAGTATACTTGTGTTAACTGCTAGCAGTGTAAGGGAACGGCAGTAATCACAACGGAAATGGAAACATTCTACCACAACAGGTATCAATTTAAAAACAGTAGAAGGTGGTCGAAAGCAAGTGCGTAACACGAAAATCGGAAAAACATACAGCTATATCAATATTAAATCCAGAATCATTGTTAACAAGTGATTGGAAAAAGAGAATCACAAAACTCCAATCAGTTATCGTAACGTTTGAATAAAATATGTGCATTCCCGTTCGACGATTTCATATATAGCAAGTATATAAAACACAACACTGCAAAATCAGACTAGTAACCGTGCACTGATAACACCCGTGTGGATCCAATCTGCGCACTGAGTCAGAAATAGATATTCGGACACAGCGAATGCAGTTTTATATCGAGTAAGCTGATCCCCACTAATTGCAGTGAGATACCAAAACGCGAATCAATTACCTTTGCCCTGATGGACTCATATTTTAAAACGTTAGAGTCCATGCAAGCAATTAATGATGAGTAAAACTCCTTAAATAAGTTCTCTTCTAAATTTCAGTTGACAGAGACCAAAACCTTCATATGATCGAACTGTTTATGAATGTTCTTCATTTTGGCTTGAATGACGGTTTTGAACAACGGATGTGCGTTTTTCACCTTCAAAATTCAAAGATACGTTGACTAGAGCTACCCTAAAACTATATCGTTAGAATTCGTTGTCCCATCGGAATCAGATTAGTCGGCTTCGCTTGTTGGGACACGTATTGCGCATGCCCAGCCTTTGTCTAGCGCACCGCGCCTTATTCGTAGTTACGGCTCCAGGTTGGAAGAAAGCGCGTGAAGATCAACAGATGACGTGGAAACGAGGCATGAAGAAATGCACGGAGCGACCGGGTAGAATCGGTGTCTCCCAACTTCCAGGTTGAGGTCCGAAAAACTTTGCAACTGGCTGGTTGGAGACATTGAAGGATATGGCGACTAACCGACAGCAGTGGCGTTCTTGTTGTTATTAACAAGTCAGAATGCATGATAAGGTATGTATTGTGTACTCTGTGTGTTGATCACAGGGTTTCACTTCCTTTGTCTCCCTCTAATAGGCCCAATCACTCTCTCTCTTGTGTTTCATCGCTTGATTTGTGTACATTGTGAGCTTGGCAGCGATCAGTGAAGTTAGCTTCATTGCACCTCGCTGCACGATGATGATGATGAAATAGTCAGAAATTAGTTTCAGTCGATTGCTTTCTCCATACAGGCAGTTCCGTGACCAATGACGGTCACGCAGCAAACGAGATCACTGCGCACATTCCTAAAGCTCGAGCAGCATATGATGAGAGCCTGGCTGGCTAAGGAGAATCTTAGACATGCCTATTAATCGTCCATCCCACCGCACATTCTTGGCTGTTGCACTCCGGACTTGGGAAAATCACGTGGAGGTATGAAGATTACACGTGGTTGGTATTGCGGAATAACATGATGGTCAACAGACAACAGGCGCGTCCGTGCTGTCATTTCTAGTCAGACCGCGTTACTCGAATCGCTGTGGTTTCAAAACTACACCCTGCTGGAATCGAGAGGGTTTATTTCCAGTTGCCTTTTTTAACACAGGTACTTTTTCCATTAATCTCATGCATCCCAATTTACTTCCGACATGTAAGTTCGTTAGCTTTCAGTAAAGTTCGCTTGACCATATTTTGATGTACGACAATGATGATCACCATGTTGATAATTTGGTGAGATTAAAAATATGTTCACCGACAGGAATTAGGGAACAGGTCAGCTTGGTACCCAAGACTAAGTACACATGAACCCGTTCCGGAAACACCAATTCAATATCCTAACAAAAACATCCACCTTATTTTATTGAAACATCTCATCTGTAGCTTAACGAATGAAAGTCAGTGTAGCGCTCATTTTAGGGATGACACTGAATTTTGTACTAGATTTCGGTGGGTGGCAACCTATGTTCCCAACATGAAGAGAAATCATTCCTAAAAGCAAAACTTAATAACCATTCTAAGTTTGAATGGCTTGTACAGAGCACATAGAGTAAAATTCATATTTTTTCATTATAAAGACGTGCTCCTCTGTTTCTTTTCATCATGAAGATTGAATGTTTGAATTAGAAACATGCAGTGTTATGTCAGCTACAACTCCATCCAGTATTAGATTGAAAATTGAGAGAAATAAGACCACACACAGCATATCTATACAAAATTTTCACGACAATGACTACTTTGCTTGCTTTCCCATTAGAACTCGACTATCCCCGTGATTTCCTAGTTTTTACTTATTTCCAAAGCACGTTTGTCGAACAGTATCTGGGAAGTGGGTTTCCATTCTGAAAACATTTTATCAGCAGAACGTGAAACGATTTAGAGTTTCAAAATCACTACTCCCTACTGTTCATAAAAAACTGGGATTTGTTGGAATTCGCTACACGCTTATCTTCTTTAACCTTTTCTATGGACGGCGTCCTACGGAGGAGACTATTATGATAGTACTTCCAGAAAAACCGAATTCACTCCAGGAAATAATGTTAACTTAGCATACGTTGTTTATACATGACTGAGAGAAGCGGAGATTGCAAATCGTCGTAAACAGCTGACAGAATGACATATTTCGGGACAGTACGTGTATTACATGCCCTAGAGGCAAAATCATTCGGAAAAATGGTGAAATACAATACCATACAATGATGAAATAAATATCCCTTTGTTGATGCCAAGAATAACAAAACCGCTGAGCTTTTGTAGAAAAACAAACCCGTTCTGCAAAAAAGTGCACCTGTGTAACTACAACAACGTTTTCTGGCTGATTAGTTTGACGGACAAAGTAATATTTCATTTCCAAGCACGTGGGTTCGGTCCCTCAGCATCAAACGTGCTGTCAGACTTGAGCATGCAATTCCCTGGTATCTTTTTACCATCCATTGTGTTTTCGGTAACGACTAATGAGATGCTACGGGATTATTGATGGATTTTGAATACAAATAATCACTTTGGATTTCTTCAATTGATTTGTTGACGTATTCTGATAACCTAAATACACGGACCTCTGATATCTAACAGCATTTATTCTTCGTCTACCCATATGTTTGACCGATGAGGAAGGAGTAATCGCAAGAGTTTGAAGCTAATAGCATACACGCATTATATACATAAAAAGCTACTTTGGGAAACTCTGCCATACACCTCAGGTTCGACTAGAGATCCCATACTAGGAAGCCCAACGCGACTTATTCGACCACGAACGCTGACCAAGATTTCCATGGCTTTGGGTCCCTTATATGGTAAACATCCTTATTATGGAGTGTTATCAGCCAATTTTTGATTGGAGTGAAGAAATATCCTGACCATTGAACTACGGTTTCTTACGTGGATACAAGACTGCGCTCGACGAGTGAATTTTGTTCGATTATTGCGCCAGTTACAGTTGGACTGTTCGGTAAAAATTTGGAAACCGAATATGGTCAAGTGAGAAGACCGAGAATGTGATCCATTCGTTAAACCTCAACAGTTGGTTTTGCTCTTAGATATGAAATTGCCGCGTAAATTGATTGGAAAGCATAGTGCTATGAACATAAAACATCTATGAAGTTTTAGTTGGCAATCAACGGTCTTCATCTGTTAACTAAAGCAATCAATTGAAGTGAGAGTTCACGCATGTACCACTTTCACGAGCAGGCCTGAGTGTGTTGCACTTGACTGAGAGTAAAAGAGCAACAAGAGGAGCGCGTGTACAATATCAACTTGAGAAACCCTGTTGATGTACGGTAATGTGCTAGCATACAACACGGCTTATAAAAAATAAACTCTAAGTACAAAGTTCACCGAGGAGAGTTGGAATGAATAAGTGAAACAAACGGGACGTGATTTCAGCTGTGAGGGTACGGAAACGGAAGACAGGATGAAGACTTCTTATGCAGCGACGGTAGCTATCAGGTAACATGGCTGGCCCACGCAAGAAACAGCACAATCCAAATCACACAACGCAAAAAAACAGACCTGTCTCCGAATACTCCTGAGGATGCTTCGGTTACACACATTGATGAAAACTGAAACCTCAATCAATTACAGCGGGACTCCACCCACCTTGATGATCAACTTTGCGTAAAACGGTTACGGTTGTCGTTTTTCCGGAGAGTAAGAGCTGATCCATCATTTGTTCCAGATCATGTAATGTGAATGATTCGTTGTTGGACGATTTGCGCAAATCTCTTCCATTTAGTTCAATAAGTATATCACCTTTGAGAACATCGCACACATCCGCAGAGCTGCCTGTGGTACAGTCGGGGTAGTCCGAGTAGAGACAGGCGAACTGGTTATAACAAATTAGTTTCGATGAACAAGTCAGCACGCGTTACAAGTGATAAGTGAATATTGGCGATAAAGGAAGCCGCAATTGCAGTCGCAGAGAAGCGAAATAACTAAAAACCACGAGGGAAAACGACATCACCGTGGTGTTAAAAATGAAAGCTAGCTTGGACTTTCAGCAGGATATGAATTCGAAACGAACTGGTTTCTCGTAAATTTGACTACTGTTCCCTTCGGGACTGGCATGTAATGAGGAACGGCGATGATTATGGCATCAAACACATCACTACCGGGACAGAATTCGAAAGAAACTGTTCAAGGGACCAAGGTCGACATGATTGTTCCTTTTATGAGCAAGCAGAAGAAAGCAGCTACAGTTAGAAAAAAATGCATGAATTAACACACTCGACGTACGGAATAAACAATCAGCACGATAAGCACAAGTGTGCATAAGGATATTTAATTCAGGGCTATTCAACATCACTTTATAACCCAACGCATCAAATAAACAATAAACAAGGTGAAACACTGATAAAATTGGCTTTTACCGGAATCAATTGCAAAACAAAACCCATCGATCATGGGGCGCGTACTGAAAGCATATGGAAAACTACGGCCAACACTTGGAATGCTCCCAGAACGACGGGACTGCACCTTGACGTGGTGTGATGGTTTACGTGCCTCCATGACCCCGCGAGCTACACAGGATCGCTTTTCACAGCCGTAGATCTAATCATACCTGGAAAGGTCAACGAATAGAGGCCAGACGAAGCTCAGTTTCACAAAGCCAGCTGCTTGGGCACCTGGCTTCCTTCATTCCACATCCCCACCTGGAGAGGTCACTCCAGCAAATAAACACGCGTTGGATGTATGCCCCACTGCCTTGTGGGTAAGACTTTTGAGTCAAAGGCTCCGGTTAGGATTCCCAAAGAAAAACCCCTTCGTCAGTGTGGGCTACCGCGAAGTATGTCGCGCCCTAAAGTCTTAGGAAACCATTTGGAAAACCATCTTTCCCATCTGTTTCAGGAATGCTCCCGTTTGGTATAATTGTCTGTAGTAGAACTTGCTTTGTGTTGTCACCTAATACAACACGTTTGTGAAGCGAAAACGAATCAAAAACACCGATGATCCCGAAAAGTGGCCAAACTAACAAACCATTCTGAAGTCCTTCGTGGTTCAATTCAGCTTAGTTCTAACAAATATAAACGAAGGATTTTGCGCACTGGTTTTAGCTGCGGTTTGATGTCTGCCCATTTGTATGAACGAGTAAACAGAAGATTCAAATAATGAAAGTAGTTTCAAGGTGAAAAAGGAGAACTCATGTAGGTCAAGGTTGCAAGAAAAATGAGGAAATGTACGTGCATTACTGATTAGGACACTCAAGAATATCACTCTGACCATTGAATACGCTGGTCTCGAAATCTAAATCCAGAAAGCCTTGGGCAACCTATGTGGACAAGTCTCCTGGACAGGGTTTCGCGCCCTTAGACCAGGTCTTGATTTGAACATCCTTGACTTTTTACCACCTATGGCATGGAAACAATACATACCCCCACCAATGTAGTCTTCATTGAATTGATTGATCTTGTACGTGGAGCTACCACTGTAACGGCCGAAATGTCACTGTGCAGAAAGGAGAGGAGGGAAGTAATGCACGTCACACGCTTGAGGATTTTTTGTGGTCACAGTTTATGTTGTTCGCACCTTACCTGAGTCTTTGTGGATACAGATTTTGCCTCCGTCGCCTCCATGTGTGGGACACACTTTCTCGTAAAGATCAATCACATAAGAGGAGAGAGAAATAATTAAATTCTCTCAAGCCTAATTTATTGAATATGCTGAAAAAACTCAAGAACCGACATACTCGGGTTTTATGGCCACCTGAGTAAATAATATAAGCGGAAATATTTTCGTTAGATGTGTCCCTTTTGTCATATGCTTTAAATTATTCTCATTCGCCAAGTGATGAGGTAAAACCACCAATCAGGTTAAATAACAGCTCGATAAAGACGTATGTAGGAGCCAGTTTTACTGTTTCAAGGGCAATTCTGTGTAAGTCCACTGTGTGCGAGCAGCTGGTGCATCGTCAGGCCAAGAGAGCAGCAGAACCGGGTCCGAACACGCACCCACACCAGCACAAACGAACATGTAAACGCACGTTCACAGACAACCACGGACGATATGTGAGGACACGAAGAAAATTGAAAAACAGCGGAACAAAAAGCATTTGTGGAGTTACGGGTCAGTCGTACTGGAGTCTGCATACTAATCAACTGGTAGAACGAGACGAACAAAGACCAGCAACCAGATAGAGGCACCGGAGTGGATAACACAGTATTCGTCAAATGCAACGAAGAGTGGGTTTGTTGGCTATGCAGTAGCAGGAGCATAAACACACGTAAACACACGTAAACGTGTGCACGCATACAAAATGTACGCGGCAGACAGTTTGAAAACGAGTCACATGATTGACCCAGGCGAGGATAACCGTATGGAAATCGGCTACTCCGGTCTTCAGGTGATCCGACAGTGATTCTCAAAACAGATTCATGTGCGGCACATTAACGAATGCAGAGTTGAAGATCAGCAAATAAAACAGCAGCGTTTTACATAAAACAGCGTATTCCGCAGAATTATCACCATTACCACCGTCACTAATACTATCACTACTTGGATTGCGGCTGGTGGTCACGACAATAAAACGGCGTTCGTGCAAAGATTAATCAGGAAAAAAACAGCAGATATAGAATGCGGCAATAACAAAACCAATAACTGGGAAACAAAAATGATCGAAATAGATTCAAAACGTGCATATTGTAGATTGCAATTATGAAGCGATCAGTGCAATGTTCACTAAGAAATACTAGCATAAATTGCCTAAAGTGTCGAGATGTGACACTTTTGCTTCTCTTGCACGGATGAACTAAAGAGCATTGCGGATTGGTGCGGGCATTTACAGCACGAAACTAAACTGCGAACAGATTGTGCGAATTCAGTGGAGGGAAAATCGTCAAAAGGAGCATTAAGGTATATAACTAGAGAAGTCAAAAACAGCAACCTGAAAATGACTTGCCAATTTTAACCCGCTCCACAACGAATGGCGCGTTGGATGCCGGTCCTTCTGATCTGACGGTCAAACCCCACCGCGGTTCGAAGGCACCACTTTTCGGTTGTAAACGAATAACAATGCTGCGAAACTCCTGTGCGGTTAATGGATCACTCAAGTTATCAGAGTTGGAAACGGGTTGGCAGGCGTCGACCGACGATGATTTAGGTTCAATGGGTTCATCAATGTCTGATATAGCCTCGTTTAGTGTGTGTTCTGTGTCTGGTCCACTCGTGATTTCAGCTTCAGACTGTTTCAAGAAATGCGAGGGTGGAAAGGGCAACGTATAAAAATAGTCACGTATTGCGTAGCAAACCTTAAAGATGCATCGGCACACTTTGCATGTGTGGTGGGAAAACTGAAGAGTAATCGACAATCATGCACCACACACCAAAGCAAGTGCTCGACCCCAATTAATTACGGTGGTCAGGTCATGTGTTGCGCCTGTCGCCGGATAAGCTGTCGTGCGCGTCTAAAACAGCTGCAGTAGTGCATGTAATCATTTTCTTTACACATTGAGTGTATCCGAATAGGTCAGTGATAATGGCGTCCTTGTCTTCACCGTATTTATTTACCTACTCCATATTTTTAATCATCCTATGCCATTTAGGTCATTCTATCCTTAGTTTTGTTATAATAGCCGAAATAACGCGGCCCAGTGAGAGAACAATGTCGACGATAAATGGAAAAACTTTTGAAGTGTTCAAAAACAAACATCGAAAAGTGAATTATTTATGTCCTTACCAGTAATGTGCAAACTAACATGAACCACGCTATTCCTCTTGTGTCGCTTTCACTCCTTCAAAGGTCATTTATCTCACATATATTCAATGCACTGCGTTTGTAATATAATAGTAAGCAAGCTCCGGAGTACGCCAGTTCGCATGGGGTAAAACAACGACTGTGTAGCTCAGGGGTATATGGTTAAATGGTGAACCCCACCGTATTCACTTCGAATCCCAGTAGGGACACAAAAATAGGACGCGTTGCTGATGAGCTGTATACAATGACGGAGTAGTTGTCTAATGTCTTTTGCCAACTATTATGCAATTTTTTCACTGATCACTTCCTCACTGCTTTCAGTGGAAACCGAGTCGCAAAACTGTGCACTGCGGGATTGAGTCCGTTATCGCTGCGTGTGACAATAATTAATGACGTTTTCCCTCCAAATGTATGTTGAGTGAACCACTTGTTTCCACTGCTTAGTTGTGAGTAAAGTGTAACAAATACTTAGGTGAGGTATTTTTGCAATAACTTCACCTATTGCACCACACACAGATTAAAAGAAGCATCAATGAGGAATTCACACGGATATCATATGATGAAGAGTTCTGGTTTGGACCAAAAGCCGTCAACATTAGGTGAATGAATAACAAAAACTAATGTCTTTAAAACAGGGTGTCGGAATAAACTAATTCAATTTAGTTGTAATCAAATTTGGTATTTGTATAAAACAGTTGGAATATTATGATGGGGGTACAAGGATGTGGTTGTTTCGATTTTGGAAGACAATGAAACTTGACGTGGTTACCCTGTAAAAACATTTTTCGATGGCGGTTCACCGTTAAAAATCATGATTATCGAATGATAAGTGTCAATCCTCACTCCAATGTCAACCGATAATCACCACTCACGCTTGAGAACATAGCTACTGCCTCATGGGCCCAGGAGTAGACCACCGCTCAAATACGTGCCGCAGGGAAGGGTGAGCACCACTCGAAATGAAAAGAAGACTGGAATGAGACACTGTGTAGCGCATCCCTAGTGTTTCTCACAATTGGATTGAACTAAAATCCACTAAAATCCACGTTAAAACCAATTACCGAGAAAAGATACACAGATCAAGTGGGGCTCTCAGTAAACGTGACAGTAACGCGGTCAAATATACAAGGACTTATGATGGTTGCGAGTCATGTACTACTTGTTTCGAATTGAGCATGCACTGATTGTATTTATGAGGACGAAAACTGTAACAAGGCCTGAAATTGCAATAGACGAAAATCAGTAGCCCGTGATAAACCACCACCCGAGTTCCAGTCGGAACGCAGATTCATCGGCTGAATTTCGAACCTTGCGCCGTACGCCGATAGCCAATGACCACAGCCTGTGTTAACCGTGATTCTTTTTTATACTATTTGGTTCTCCATAAAGAAAGGTGTGTCCGAAAAACATCAATTCAATAAAAGCCGATTTATTCACATTTTACTTTGGCTTGAAACGAACAAGGAGATTCGGTTGAAATCGGTGGTGGCGTTCATTGGGGAGAGGGACATCTCGCCATTTCTACTGATCTTGATCCAAGCGGCTTCCCAAAAAGGGTTGCCTGAGATCTATGCAACCTGGTGCACACTGATAGTGCACCCCGAGTTACCCACGTTGACTAACTTCGTTTTTGTACCTCAATTGGTTGACTATTCATCTCAAACATTTAAATTCATTTTGCACGCATTTTGAGCTTGGTATCGATAAGACAGGCACCTTGGAAAACATTTTACTGTAAAATGATGATTCAAGCAATAATGATAACTCAAAACTGCGAGCTCTTAGAAGCACTATGAAATTTGGAATTTACAGGATTTTGTTGATCACCGAACGGTGGCAAGAAGCAAATAATAATTGTCTAGCCTCCGGCAAACCATTGGACCCTTGTTCATGAATTTAAAATAGCACGTTAAACGTGATATCTGAGGTCCGGTGATGGGTCAAACTATTTCGATTAGGTCGTGAAAGACTCAACTGAAAGCATGATCAATTTAAATTTCATAACCATACCTATCTCATTTCCATAACATGCCCGATGTACTGCTCAAAGTCTTTTTGAAATTATGCATTTTCATTCATCTCCAAGACCCACGAATATCTACTTCGTATGAGAGCATAAAAACAGGTCTATCCTATGTTAGCTGTTGCACAATACGAAAAATAGTTCATTTGATCTCCTTCAGATTACCGCACACAGCTGAACCACTAAGTATCTATGCATAAACGAAGTTCAGCTGAGTGAGCGATATAGTATCTATGGGCCGGTATCAAAACGCTGCACTAAGTAGAAAAATGGAACATAGAATGTACAAAACGCGAGTATCGAGGATCATGACCGTAGAGTGTGCAGTATGAACAGCCTGGACCAGGCGCACGTGATGATGATTACCGCTATCCAACTAAACCATCATTTTAACCAAACTAAAACCTCAACTGACTACGGATGGTGTCTATTCACAAGTGTTAAACTTAGTCTCGAGTTTATATTAGCGTTCAGTCGGCCAGTACGACTGTTAGTTGAGATACTCAAGAAAAACTGATTTCATGATAAGGCAAAAGGTTACTAAAATGAAACTTCCACCGTATAGCTCAGTAACTGTGAACAATCGAGATCATCCATGGGACTAACACCAAATGCGAAACTCACTTTAACCTCTGGTTCCACTGAATGACCATTTGTCAACGGGGCTGTCCAATCACATCCCAGCGTGTTGGATTTGTTGGTCCTGTTGAATGTTCCATAGGGTGCGATCGCACTAAGAACACTATCATCGTTGATTTCGGAGAGATCGAAGGCTGCACCAGTAAGTAAAGCCATTCCGGGACTGCTGACTGGCGGCGGTTGGATTATGTCAGTTGATGGAATATATGAGCTGGTAACCGAGGTTCGCTGGTTTCTATTCACATGAAAAGACAAATGAGGACATAGAAGTGCGCTTACCTATGTAAGAACCTGAGGAATGGGAGACAGACGTTGGTATCTTTTTAAGAGAATCAAGCGGCATTTGAACATTTCCTAATTCATCGGAATACGGAGTGCAGAAAAAACATACTTTCAACCATTTCCATCCCAAACCTATAAAATAATTCTACGGACTATGATTGGGATGGAATGCATGGTATGCATTTACTTTATTCAACCTGGGTCGTTTTATTGGTACAGGGGAGGGTAAGGGTTGGCACACGATTCTAAGTTGTACTGCAAAAGTTCCGTAATCGATTACAATCCCATGAGTTTATCACTGTGGGTTATATTTTCGGCTAGCCGAAACCCGGTTTTCATTCTGCGAAGTTTATAAAGAACTTTAAAATAACATTTATGCGCACCTGAGAGAAATGTTTCCCGTAGGGTCGGTCATCAGAATTCATTTTGTGCTCTCACGTCCTTGTTGAGGACTATGGGTTCTAAAGAACGAACCGCTTCAACTCATAAGCTAACTCCAGGATGAACTAAGGCATCGCTACACAACACAAGGTACAAAGATCATTAGAGCAAGAAACAACGCGGAAACAAAGTTTAGTTTGTTTAAAAGACATTTATTCAGTGTTCTCCTGTGCGGGGACTGAATGAAGTGGCCCTCAACTTGGCAGTTCTGTGATTTGGCTTTCGTTTCGATCTCCTAAATATACACTTGGTCAACAATAAAGAAACGAATAAATGAAGGAAGTAGTAAAATGCGATCGGCATCAATATGAGATATAAAATAAAGGTAAACTTGATGTGGGAAGTGAGTAGATGAAGGAGTCTCAACGTTTGAGACACTCGACATGTGTGACACATGGCCAGCCTCAGTACTGCCAGTTCAATTCTCTCACCAAACTCGTGCGCCGCGGTTTCGACCGTGATGTTCGAACACCGATGGTCCACGTCTACCTACCTATTGTGACAATTGTCTCTGCACGGATTTGGCGTCACTCGACGAACTAATTCAGTGAGCACGCAACTGTTCACAGGCATTCGGATTTCACAACAATGACAAAGGTGTCTCCAGCTGCCAAACATCACAACAGCCTTCTGTTTGAGTGCACAATTTATCGCAGAGTCGTCAACCCAGAGATGTGGATGTCAAAGTAGTCAAATCTGGTCACTTCTTCTTTCTGCTCGGCCGCGGCGAAGCTTGATCGCATGCGAGAAAATGGCATATGACAATCAACACACAATGCAATATGATGCTCAAGGTGCAGAGGAAATGAGCATTTACCCCAGGCAGTATCAGAGGTTTACACTGGGCACAATCGCACGATTTTCCATTTTTCCATAAAAATATGACTCAATTTGCGTGAAATTTGAAGTGCATACAGCTTTGTGAGGAGAACAACAGCTTGAATACGTAGTACACCTTCGAGAAAACGCGCCTTTCTATCGTACAGTTAAACTCAGACCTGCCCGTGGTGTTCAGACGAAATATCGAATAGCATGAGCTGAATGGTTGAACGTACTTGATTTCTTGCATCCGAGCACGAATAGCCGCTTGGTGTTTTCGCTCTTCTTCTTGTTTTTGTTCTTCCAAACTAAACATTTTGGTCGCTTGTAGTCGGGCCGCCTTGCGCCGTTTTTCCCGCCAGTCATCCAGATCCTACATAGAGAGCATGGTGGACGGTAATTTAGTCGTAATAACCACGGATGATTCAGATGAAAAAGCTTACGGTTAAATGAAAAAAAAATACATTTTAGGCAGAGTAATTGAGGAAACCAATCATTGCTAATTATTGATTATCATCGATCAGTTTAGTTTACTTTTCATGACAATGAAACCAATAGAGATAATACAAAATTCAAACAACCTTGTTTAGAAAAAGAAAACAGCAGTCATTTACGTGAGTGGCCTGTAAACCGGGTAACCGGCAATCGCTCAATTGAGACAGCACCGACATTCAGACCGTCATTTCGCTTAATAAATGGGCCGCAATGAAGCGCTTTATAATTAATTTCTTTCTTATGGAGCAAGAACTGGAAGGAAGCCTTTCGTGGAATTTATGAAGCTTATGACTCAGACAACAAAACCCACGGTGGCTTACTAAACGACTTCTACAACAGTCTGTCCCAGGTTAAACCTGGTGGGATCCACATAACACAGACAAAAAGGGAAACAGTGATATTGTAACAGTGGTGGTACGTCTTAAATGGTTACAATCCTTAAACTCATGTATTTCAAAACCGACGTCGAATGAACTATATAACTGCAACGAACAGCGTGTTATGTTGTGAACTACACATGCCAATTCACTACAAGCATAATGTGCAGCACAGACCTAATGAAAACAGAGTAATGGTGACAGAATTATGCAGATGCGTAGTGTCCTGTTCAACCGTAGATACTCAATTAAGCAAGCAAATCAAAGATATGCGCGAAGCAGATCACCAAAGAAGAAATCCGTGACCAGTTAAAAAGTGTCAGCTTGTCAAAACAAATGGATATTGTATTCCATTTACTTCATCCGATACCGTTGAAATAGACTGCCAACATTTGGCAAGCTATAGTAAGTATCAAGACAGACATTGTCAACTTGATCGAGTTGAACATTAATACTGACACCTCGTGTGTGGAGTGTTTCCGAAGACCACATGAGAAAGCACTGGGTAACAGTGACGCTTCACAACGGAAAATGCGTCCAACTATCAAGCATGCAACCAGGTCTGACCGGTGAAGTCATTAAGGCAACAGAAGAAATACTATACGTCTAGCCTACAATTAGCCAATTGAACACGCTAGAGAAACCTAGTCTCATAAAACTTCCACGTGTGAACGACTCGGAAAACAAAAAAAGCAATTTGCAATTATTTCGCGATCGATTTGGCTTACGATAATCTCTGTGAGGCTACAACTGTCTGCAGGTTGATGACTATACAGTACTAAATAGGATAGAGACAACAAGCTGTGCAACGCTTCTGGTGTCCTTATATTATTACATTAAAACACAGATTCACGCAAACCCCCATCATGCGGCTAATTGTCAATATTATTCCTTCTTTCATAGATTACTTTCATCGATAAAGTATAGTCGATCAAGTTCGGGAGATACGCCGCCAAAAATGTAAAAACACTCTCACTTTACCCTTGCTATTTATTCGAATTGCCATGTGTAGTTGATACCCGATGTGAACTATTCTGAACAGTTTCCGATTGAGACAACACCATTTTGGATAAACGAAGTCGGATAAGAAAACACTTTTCTAGCTACATGCACTCGATCAAGCGAAATCAATTCACGAACCAGAGAGAAACTACGCCGATCGGCATCAATGATCTTATGAGACAGGAATTAATTGTGAATCCTCTTCATATCAATGATACGATCCCTAATCGTGAACAGCCGAAGCTGAGTTCGAGCCCAGGGCTCTTTTCCGCCCAAATTCAACAGAGAAACCGATGTTCGTCAGGGACCCTTCACTCTGCTATCATCTTCAACTTTGAAATATAAATTATTCTAAAAATGACTCGGTTTTCAAATGAAGGTGGCGGCACTGATTTACTCCTAGGTCACAAGTTTTTCAAGCTGTAGTAATAAGTCAGTGTGAAGAGTGGAGTGAAGATCAAGGCAGGTTGCACGCATTTCTGAATGGTTTGAGTGTTAGTGTGACCATGTTTGGCCTGCGCTTCACCTGGGAATCTGTGTCTCTAA